ATAATTTATACAATATGATTCTCAACAACGTAAGCCAACTACTTCATCTTGTATCAACTGGTGAGAGAAAAACTATCAGAGTTTATCAGAGGTCAAATTCACATACTTCACCTACACAGAGTTCTTTAGATGAGATATGCATTTTCAGGGGTTACTTTCGAACGGATTAATCTTAAGGTCTGCTGACTTTGGAAACAAACTCCTGTGTACACTGGGATTTCATCATAGTTTTCTATAAATGGTAACGTTAAATGAATACAAATACAGAACACTGAGTGATATTCCACTTTTGCAATGTAATGACATCAAATAAGGTAAAAATGCAAATCAAATGTAATTCTGAACCTTAAACTTCTTGAATGAAAGCAAAATAATCTCTGAGTTTTTTTGCTTTGTTTTGCATTCTACTTTGAAAAGCATTGTTACATTTAAATGAACTCTTGGACACCTAAGATACCTTACCTTTCAGATGTTCTAGTTTTATGTTTCTAAGTTTCAGTACTTCATCTGTAATCTTCTGTATCAGGAAGTTCTGTGTTTTTTCTCGCCGAATAGATTCAACCAGGGTATCTAGTCCTTTAGGGTTTTCTTGTAAGTAATCTAACAATTTTCCAGCTCTCTTCCTACTTGATGTTCGGCAAGAAATTTCTTCAGTGTCTTCTCTACTGAGTATTTTTTTTGCCCGTAGATGATCAAAATGTCTCTCAGCTATGATTTTCTCACACAGGTATACACGCAAATTTTCCAAAGCCTAAAAGACATAAAGTAAGTCTCAATGTTATTTTTCTTACCACCTAAGGAAATCACACAGGTGACTGATTAGTTGGGAATCTGAACTGCTGAGAGAACACATCCTGAACGCAGGAGGCGCAGGCCTACTACAGGCGTGCTGTTACAATGAAGGTCCGAGTAGACAGAAGTAGGTCCTGACTATGTTCCTCACAGCTTCTGTCCTGCTCTGATCTCATCTTCACACCTATAAACCAAGACCAAACTACTGTGAGAGCGGCCAGTCTAATCTGGGGGCCTGGGTCTGTGGAAATGGAGGTCTACTGAGGGCCTTCAGGGCAAAAGGATGAGAACAGAAGAATTAGCTTTTACCAAGGAATCCAGGATTGGTCAGGACTAGAGAGGGTAACTTAGTGAGAGGTCTCACAGTTTGTAACTTTCTCATGTTTGTTATTAATTTTCCATCTACCTAGAGTAAAACCACTAAAAAAGAAAAGAAAACAGAAGAAAAGAAGAAAACAACCTAACCTAAAAAGGCCCATAATGTGTCTACCTTTGGAGTTAGTTGGAAAGACTATAACCTAAGTCAATGTCTCAGTAGAAGGGAGGTAGAAAGGTGTGGGGGGAAAGAAACCTAAAGGAAGAGTGGATACTGAAAAATTTTAAAAATAAAGAAAAAGAAATCACATAAACAGGCTTAAACCTGAGAAGTGTCTAAGGGGACTTACTCAGCCAAAAATCGATGTGGGTCCTAAAAAATGGCATTAATAATTTAATGTCAGCAACTGTATACAGCTCCCTCATTTACTAGATATGTGTTCTTGGCTAGGTAACTTATCTCCTCTGTGCCTCAGTTTCCTTAACTGAGTGTAAAAGGAATAAATTAGCACATGTAAAGTACTAGGAAAAGTGCCTTGTACATAGTAAGTGATGAGTAAATGTTAGTGGTGATGACAGTGACTCACAGTGACAATGATGAGCTAAATAAAGACAATGGAAAATCTTCAAAGTACTCCAGGGTATCATGGCAGAAAAGTAGGCCAGGTGAGGGGTTCCTGTGGTTCTCAGTCCACTGAACTTTCACATTCATTTATTCACACAACAAACATTTCACGTATCTAAATGCCTAATGTGCCAAGGGCTGAGCAGTGGGAATGGAGTAATGAACAAGACTTGAATCCTGCATGCAAAGGACATAAGGTCTAGCTGGAGAACACATTATCACACTCAGGCTAATAAGTATAAGACAATGGGATGTGACCCAGAGAAAAAGTTTACAGGTCAAGTACTGGGGAAGCATAGAGTAGGCAAGTAACTGCCTCCAGGACCTGGGAAATTTAGAGAGGCTACACTTGCGCTAGAGGCATGCAGGTGCACAGCGGGGGAAATTACAAACCCTTGTGCCAAAACCTCATCAAAGGTTTATAAGTAAGAGGTAACAAGAAAACTTTCACGGAGTACTGGGGGGAACAAAAACTGGGGTCAAAGGAGACTAATTAGAAGGCTGTTGCAATACCTTATATAAGATACGCTGAGTGCGTGAATTTACGCTGCGGGAATGAGGAGAAAACTAGACTGAAAAAATGAACACCTTGCAAAACCTCACTTGTTGTCATTCCTATCACTTATGTGCTGATGATTTCCAAATTTTCATGTGATCAAGACTTTCTCCACCTAGAGATTCCAATGGTATTTCAAATCCAACATGTCCAAAACCAAATTTGTTTTCCTCCCTTATCCTTTTCCTCCAATATTCTCAGCTCACTTGGGAGCACCTCCTCCCTCCCCATCCATCCAACCATTCATCCAACCTGCAGCTCATCCTCGACTCTTCCTCTCTTTCACTCACTTGCCACATCCCATTAGCCACCCACTGGGTGCTGCCAATCCATCCCTGACATTTACCTAATCGGCCCCTTCACTTCATCCCTATTACTAGCATTGCCCTAGTTCGGGTCCCTATATATCTTACAGGACTATTAACAAGACACCTAGCTACACTTCGTCCTTCTCTTCCCACTCCCCTCAAAATCCTCCTCACACGTCTATCAGATCTTCTAACTGATTTCAAGAGAAAATGGAAATCTGGAATGTCACATGAATTCTACTAATACCAAAATGTTGTTAGTTAACTTTTACAAAATTTAAGACATTGTGTTCCATCTTGACTTAAAAGATAAAGGTCTTCAACCATGGCAAAGCAGTAAGTTAAGAGCCATGCTCTGGACTCAGACCTAATCGTGATGCTGCCACATTCCCATGAGAGCTGGGGCCAGTTACTTCACCTCTTGAAGCTTCAGGTTCCTTATTGGTAAAATAATGATAAATACTTGGCAGGCTCTCTAGGAGGACTAAACGGGACACTGCATATGAAGGCTCGACACAGTGTCTGACAGTCAGTAACAGCTCCTTGACAACGGCAGACAGGGCACTTCAGAGCATGGGTCCGGCTACCTCTCCAGCTTAATCTACGACCTGGAACTTACCGTTCTACTGAAACTGCTGTTTGTCACTACACTTCTTTAACTCGTTACTGTTGCCATATTTTCTCTTCTCATATCCTAAGTCCCTATTAATCTTTAAAAATTCAGGGCAGTGGTCACCTTCAGGTCACTCCCCCAAATGAGGACTGCTCCCCTCTGTCTTTACAGCACCCTGGGTACACATTTCACCTTTCTATATACCAGACTCCACTTCTATGTTCCAGTTCATAACCAGACATTTTCATTGTCCCACTGCTCTTCTCAAAGTCACCAACGATCTCCTAATTGCTAAATTTGATACTTTTAGTCTTCATCGTACTTCTCAGCAGTGTGAATACAGCTGACCACTCCCTCCCTGAAATATTCTGTACTTGTCTTACGTGAACACCACACTCTCCTGGCTTTCTTCCCATCTCTGTGGCCATAACGCCTCACTTTTAAAAACTCTTCTGTGGTCTCCCTTTCCCTTCTAGCTCTCAACTTCCCAAAGTAAACTCATTCAATCCCACACTTTCACTTCTAGCTCAGATCTCCTTTCTGATCTTCAAACTTAGAGGTCTAAATGCTGACTTGACATTTCCACTTTCTAACATGATTCCACTTGCTTCCTCAACTCCCAGATTCAGACCATCCCCAAGTCCTATCATTACCATTTAAAACATGCATCTAGAATCTTCTCATTCCATCCATTCCCACTGCCTTCACCTGATCCCAGTCACCACCTCTCTCCTGTGTAAATTCCAGGGGTCTCCTCACTAGTTTCTCTCTTCCCACCTCTGCTCTCCCCAGTCCGTACAATAGGCAGAGGGATCTTTTAAAGACCTAATTCTTCAATACTACACATGGGGAAAAAACCCTAGTACACTTGGGGAAAAAACGCACACTCTTTACTACGATCGATAAGACCCTTCATGATCTGGCCTTAACCCATCACCCTAACTTCACCTCAAGGCATTCTCTGCCTTCTTCCAATTTCCCCAAGATCTGGCTTGTTTCATGTCCTTTGCAAATTCTATTCTGCCTAGAATGCTCTTCCCACAGTTCTGTCATATTCTTCAGGAATCAGTTTAAATGTAACTTTCTCTGACCATCTTATCTCAACAGACGTCCCCTGTTACTGTCTCAGCACCTGTTTGTCTTCTTCATAGTAGGTACCATAATTTGGAATTACACATTTATTTGTTTTCAACCCAGATAACCCATGTTAAAAGCAGGCAAAAACCAGGTACATTTTGTTCAACTCTGTATATCCTGCACTTAGCAGAGTGCCAAGTAGGTAACATTTTGGATGAATGCCAAATTCACTGCACTTATTTTGTGATTTGCAATTATCATTTTACATCTGCTCCCTCTCCCCTAAGCAGCTGACCTCTTCTCAAACTAGGATTGTGTCTTAATTTTTAATTTTTGAACTGTTAGAATCAGTGACAATATCAGCCTCACAGCAGCAGGTAGTCCATATTTATGAAACTGAACTAAATTCAGCCAAAAAGATGAGGTAACAACTAGATGGGGCACATGGGGAGGAGTACAGTGAAGAAGTGGGAATTTCCAGGAGGAAAAGTGGTGGTACAGTGGGTCCTCTGTACCTGCAGGTTCCACATTCTCAGATTCAACCAACAGTGGATCCAAAATATTTGGAAAGAAAAATTTCCAGAAAGCTCCAAAGAGCAAAACTTCAATTTGTTGTGTGGGTCAACTATTTACATAGTATTTACATCGTGTTTACAACTATTTACATAGCATTTACATTGTGCTAGGTATTATAAGTAACTGAGAGATGATTTAAAGTACATGGGTAGATGTGTGTAGGTTATATGCAAACACTATGCCATTTTATAAAAGGGACTTGAGCATCCATGGATTTTGGTATCAGCAGCCAATCCCCCCACGGATACAGAGGTACAACTGTATAATAGTCATCAAGGCAGAGAATACAGCAGAAACAGCAAGCAGCTTTGTTGGAGAGATGATAAAAAGTTCAATTTTAGATAAGGTGAGGAATCTGAAGAATATAAATAAAAGTGGATTTCTAGGAGATTTTTGTTTTGTTTTATTTAATATATATATCTTTAAAATTTATTTTCTGGTGGGGGAGGTAGTTAGGTTTATTTATTTATTTTTAGAGGAGGTACTGGGGATTGAACTCAGGACCTTGTGTATGCTAAGAATATGCTCTGCCACTTGAGCTACACCCTCCCTCTCCAGGAGATATTTGGAAATAAGCACTCAGAATTGAGAGAGAGAAGGAAGTCAAATATGTAGATGACAATTTAAAGATCTTCCAAGGTCATAACCGTTTTGCAAATATCACAAAAAAAAATCCCTAAAAAAAAGGTGCATACATTTTTTTTCCATAGACATCCTGAAACTCATCCATGATTCCCCAAGGTTATGAATTTCTGATATAGCTGTAAATTGAAATCATGGAGATGAATAATAATAGTGAACTGATGGGAAAAAATAAAGGCCTGGAAGCCACCCTTCACATCTGCTTGTGGACAGGTTTTATATCCTCTTGCTTGTAATATTTCACTACTTGTTTTATCAACTGTAAAAGGGAATGACAATTATCTGCCTTAGAGGTTGTTGTACAGATTAAATGAGAACTTTATAAATTGTGTGGCACAGCATTTGAAACACTGAGGCCTAGCTCTTGAAGTTCATGTTTTTACTGGTACAAATCTTAAAACAACACTCATTTATTCTTTGGTAGTTATCAATGTCCCAATCTTACCTAGCATATAAAGCAGGGGCCTGTCATTTCTTGTATCTTTCCAGGCCCAAGAGCAGTAGTTTCTATATAAGTGCTCCACAATTATCTGTTGAACGAGGAGACTAAGGCACAAGTCCCAGTCATAACCAGTTTCCTTCTGCTAATGAGTCATACCAACTGTAATTATGAGTACAGTGTAATAAACCTTACAGGTGAGGGTAAAGGAAGGGATCTGAAGCACATGAACATTTAAAAAGCTGGTGTCCTGTCCAGCTCACAAAGATGACTTTGTATAAGTACTGCATTGTGAAGGCAGAACACAATTCATGTTGTCAGTTTCTAATTTGAGTTTATATAAAGTATTTTAATGGTACTCATATATATGTCTCATGTGGCAAAACAAGTAACTAAAAGCAAAGGAAAACAGAAACAAGTCACATCTCCACAAAGTCATTCTTTACGATTAAATACTCAGATTTGTGCACTTTTGCACTATCCAAGCAGAAGACCATAATTCAGCTACTGAGTATTTCCAACGTTTACCTGTGAATTCATTCTCGGCTTCATGCATTCATCCCTTCCTCCCACCCCCCTCGCCCCTTCAATTTAAATATGTGGGCGTTTGCTTACTAGGGGAATTCCAGGTCGTGCTTTCAGCTGTTGAGCTTCCCCCAACCCACTCTGCAAAAGTTTTATGTATTTGCTCCACTGCTTGGAGCAAACTGATCCTCTATCTGGAGCATCTGATCCTTTATCTGGTCCGGCTTTTGCTCCAGGTTGAGCCAGCAGCCAAGGCAGTCTGACTCAAGGATGGACTTGAGTCGTCGATCCCTAACAACGCAGCTCCAAAGCGCAGGGGGGTGAGGAGTGGGCAAGAAGCTGATTGTGCAGAAACGCTCCACCGAAACGAGGTTTCAGAAACCCAAGCCCTGCTTTCAGCGATTTAAAACGTGGATTAACAGGTCACCGGGGGATCAGATCACTTCCACCAACGTCCCTCGGATGCAGGGTTCGCCGCGGTCCTGCGGTGTCCGGACCTTCCGCTTCTCCCACCGCAGGCTCCTCCTCCGATTCCGACTCGGACTAGGACGCCAGGTTTCCGCTTTCCTCGCCCGCAGGAACGCAGCCCGCCCCCGCCCGCCCCCGGCCCGCGGCGGCGCCCGGGCAAGGTTGTGCTACTCACGTCCTTCTTCACTTCAGTCAGGTCCTCCTCGGTGAGGGACGGCGCGGCGGGCTCCATGGCGGAGGCGGGAGAGGGCGCTTCTTCCGGGTCCGAGCTCGGGCTGCGCCGCCCCGCCCAGGCTGGGCGCTTCGGCCTCCGGATGAGGGGGCACAGGGGAAGCGGAGAGGGTTGAAGGAAGAGGGCTACCCCTTCGAAAACCGATGGACTCGCGGATCAAACTGTAGCGCTTCCGGCTCTGCCTCTGGGGCGTACGGCGGAGCAGGCCTACCCGTCCCAACGCGGAGCCCGGAGCCAGGCTCCTTCCCTCTCCTAGAGGCTCAGGCGCAGGCACCGCCCCTCGGTGAGGCGGGGCCACCTGGAGAGCCCGCCCCATCTCTACTACAGCCAATCGGTGCCAGCCCGCGGGCCAACTTTGTTCCCGCCCCTGGCCGGAGCCTTTCAGGAGTGGCTCCGCCCACTGCCTCAAGGTCGTTTGCATGTGGCAGTGGGTTGGCCTCCCGGAAAGGAATCGTTTCCGTGGGTGGGGCGCGTGGCTGCTCTGCCCGCGGGCAGACACCGCCTTCGCAGGCGGCTCCGTCACTGGGGGAGTCCGGTCTCGGCTTGCCTGTCCTTCGGGGTGCCTCCCCTTTTCCCAGACCCTGCCCAACGATTTCCTGTTGCTGCGTTTGCCCACTCAGGTTTTCAAATTACTTGGTCACACATCGACACACACGTCACATATACAGCCTAACTACAATAGTAAAGAAATTTCTGAAAGAGAAAAACCGCCTACAGTCCCACACCTGATTTAACGTCTGCATACTTTTTGGTCACTGTTTATTTGAAACGTATTTCCTTATTTATTCATCCATGTAAGGAAGATTTGTCTACCTCATACCTCTCATAGGGCTGCTGTGAGAAATGACACAATTACGTAAGGTTCTTAGAGATACTGGGCACACAGTACACACCCAATTTGTGGGTTTTTTTATCTTACAATACTGAAACATGTATTGAGTCCTTACTAGTCTGTTGTTCTAGGCATCTTATTGCGCAAGCGTTCTCCCATTCTAGTGGGGGAGACTGGGGAACAGACCAATATTTCCAGAATGGTATTCTAGCCACTAACAGAGGTGTATACAAAGTATTGTGGCTGAAAAGCTCAAAACAGAGCCCTGCACCCAAGATGGTTGTTTGGACAACGTGCTAAGTAAACTAGAAATAAAGTAGATGGTATTTGAAACTAGCGGATAGATAAAGATGAGGAAAGGACCAAAGACAAACATGGGGACCCGGAAATATAAGAGAAGAAAGCAAAAGAACCGAAAACAACAATGTTGCTAAAGCCACACCAGTGTATTTAAAATTTTTTAACACCTTTATTACGGTATGGTTCCTGTACAGTAAACTACCCATATTTCAGATGTACATTTTGATGAATTTTGATAGATGTATACACCAGTGAAACCACTACCATAATCAAGATAGCTAACATTTCTAAAAATACACACCAGTGTATTTTTGATCACAACACAGGGATTCTAGTTTTAACATTATCTCATATGTCTTTTCCCATAATGATACACAGTATTTTTTTCTGATTGCTTCATCTTCTGTAATCTTGATATAACCCAATTTACTTAACCATTTGTTCTTCCATTTCACAAATATTTATTGAATGTCATCTCTGTGCCAGGCATTGTTCTAGGTGTGGGGGAAACAGATGTGAATGAAATAGATACAAATTCCTTTCTCCCTGGAGTTTAAATACTATCTAGCATGTGTGTGTTTGGGGCAGGGCAAACAGATGTCTGAAAAATATTATGTAAAGTATTTATTATGTTAGAAGATGAGAAATACTAAAAAAAATAATAAAACAAGGCAATAGGATGAGGGTGTATGAAGTAGTAACATTTAAATAGAGTGGTTGATCAAGACCTCATGGAGAAGGGGAGATATGAGTTACCACTTGAGGAATTGAGGGGGTAGGCCACGTGGACATGTGGAGAAAGAATATTATGAGTAGAAGGAACAGCCAATGAAGAGAATCCAGTGTGACTGGGAAGAAGATGAGGTCCTTGTGTGCCACTGTAAAAGTTTACATTGACTTTGCTCTGAGTCATATGGGCATAGTCTGAGTCAGACGGGAAGCCACTGGAGGGTTCTGAGAAGAGGAGTGACAAGATCCGATTTATGATTTGAAAAAGGAGCACTTTCACTGTTGCTTTGATGGAAGAGGGGAGATCCTAGGGAGCTATTACCATAATCCAGGACCCAGGAGGTGGTGGCTCAGAACAGGGCTGGTAGCATTGAGGGTGGTGAGAACATTTTGAACAGAAATGGGGAAGCGATTTCATTTCCTTTTCAAAGGCTCACTGTGGCTGCCGAGTAGAGAGTAGACTACAGGTGTAAGGGTGGAAGCAGAGAGATCAGCTGGACCCTCCCTCAGTGATCCTGGCAAAGATGAGGGTGGTGTGACCAGGTAGGGAGCAGCAGTGAGTGTTTCCCCATGGTGACCTTAAGTTATTCCCAATTTTTCATTACTATAACAAAGTTGCCTTTAAGTTTTTCATCTGCATATCCCCTAGTCTTTTTTTCTTTTGAATAATCGTTTCTTTTGCATAAATTCTCAGAAGTCCAATGACATTTTCTACCTTCATATATATTTCCATGGGTTCTCTCCAAAATTATCGGTCCATCTGTGTACGGGAATGAACTGTTTTGCCACAAGCATACCAGCTCTGCCAATGAAGGAGGGGATTCAGAACCTATCAAAGCAAAGTGATTTGAATGAGGCCAGTTTGCCACACCCACTTTGATTAAGCATTCGGAAGTTGCTCGTCTATTATTCTTTTTTCAACAAAATGTTCCAGATACACCAAACTATAAAGGAAAATATTACAAACACCCGATGTTCATTACCAAGATTTGACAAATATTGACATCTTGCCACATTTGCTTCCATTCTGGTTTTTGGTTGCCAAGTGTTAGCGGCAGACATCTCTGATTCTTGAGCCTTCTTTCGCGACCCTTACTCTGCATCTCTATCACTGTTTTTGACCATCATTTCACTTCCGATTCCTCCAGCCTTCTTCTGTCTTCCATATTCACCCCCTTATTCATTTATTTAACTAAAAAGTTGAATGCTGTGTGTCGGAAGTGGGAGTTATGAAATCAAGATAAGGGGTTGGGTGGGACTGAGTGAGAAGGTTAGGAATTCTTGAAAGCCGAAAGGTTAATATTTTGGTTTTGAGGCCACATTTCAGTGTTCCCAGGTCACACAGTCTGTATCAAAGCAGCCGCATCTGAATGTCATGTGCCCAGTCACAGAGCTAGTTCCCAGCGGGCCTTGCAGTTTCCAGTCTTGCCAGCACAACGTACTTCTTTCATAAGCAAACTCATTTCCCCTTCTCCTCTCAATCACAGGGTCAGGCGTAATGAGATTTGGACATGTACTCAAGAAAATTGTTCTGCCCATTCTCTACCTTGCAGAAATTCTACCTCTTCCCACCCCCTCCATCACCACTTCGACTTCTAGGTTTATAATCTGCCTCTTACCATGAAATACAAGGCATCTGATAAATGTATGGGCAGGATACTGTTTAGGTGCTACAAACATAAGGCAGCACATCATAGAGGTTAAAAATGAGGATGTTTGGCATCTGGCAGATCTAGACTGAGATACCAGTTTCCTAGGGCTGCTGTAATTATCACAACATGGGGGTGGGGTGCTTAAAACAACAGAAATGTATTCTCTCACAGTTCTAAAGGCTAGATGTCCAAGGCTGGCAGGCCCTTGTTCCCTCTGAAGGCTCTAAGGAGGACTCCTGCCCTACCTCTTCCCAGTTTCTGGTGGTTGCTGGCAAGCCTTGGCCTTGGCTGTGGCTGCAGAACTCCAACCTCTGTCTTGACATGGCTTTCTCTGTTTTCCTCCTATGTCTCTGTCTCCAAATGTCCTTCTTATAAGGACACTAATCATTGGACTTAGGGCCCGCTCTAATCCACTGTGATCTTATCTTAACTTGATTGCATCTATAAAGACTATTTTCAAATAAAGTCACATTCCAAGCTTCCAGCAGACATGAATTTTGGGAAGACATTATTCAGTTCACTACAGTTGAATTCTAGATTTGCCCATTATTAGCTATATGACCTGGGAACCATCAATAAACATTCAGTAAAGACAGCTGTCATCAGAACGCAGCGGGAGGGACAAGGAAACCATTTCTGGCTGATCAGACAACGTGAAAGAAGTGTATCTAAACTGGGCTGGAAGATTTTAAGAGGTGGAGCTTTAACTGCTGTTGAATGATTTATTCTAACACTTTCTGCCAGATACCAGGTGCTGTGTTGAGCAATGAATTCTATTTCAAATAATGTGAATTATAAATGTCCTGAAAATAACTGGAGGTGGAAAAAGTGGCCAGTTCTGAGCCAGACACTCCTGGGTTTTAATGGCAAGACAATTTTTGATGGAGTTCAGACGTTTCAGCTCAGGGACTTTGTGAAGACTCCAGGTGGTCCTGCCCCCAGGAGAGTTCCCAGCTCAGGAAGGGAGGACCAGGAGGGTATGGAATGGTGAATACAGGCCTGAGCAAATCCTGTGAGGACATTTGCAAGTGCACCCCAAGACTAAGACATTGTTGGGGCCATTGAGGGAACTGGAGAGAAGGGATCATTCCCCCAGCCTTCCCTCTAGAAGACTGGTTGGTCTGGACCATAGGACAGGCACTGGGTATCAGAGGCCTGCCTGTTTATGGGACTGGCTACCTTAGATACAGTTCAGAGGAGATGACGTCCCTATACCAGCAGGGAGATCTTGAGGGAAGGGCTAGATCTCCTAGTCATACAACTGCCTAAGAAGAAATAATCACTAGCAACTTATTTTGCACCCATTCTGAGCCAGGCATACCCCATCTGCTGTTGCAATTTAATCCCTATTAACTGTCCCGCCAGGTCAGCTTTTTTATCCTCACTTTACAGATGAGATATCTGAGGCTTAGAAGATATGTTTTGCCCAAGGCCACTCCTCTACTAAGTAGCAGAATCAGGATTCCAACACAGCTCTGTCTGATAACAAGGCCAGTGTTCTTAATTACTAGCTGTAGACTCAGCAACTTGTTTCAGGATACAGTGATTCCGAGAAACTAGGATTCTCAAACATTCCCTGGGGCAAGGCAAAAGGTGTAGTGTGTTCTTCTGTTCTCTGTGCCTGAGGTAGGAAAAAGAAAAGCCAGCAAACTTACCGTAGGATTTTTAAACCCCCTAAATGCAAAGGAGAGCATCCCAAGATTGGCAGGAAGAGAGCTCTCAGGCTCTGGAACTGCAGCTTTGTGAGAGCATCCTGCCACGGCGGACGAGG